CAGTTTTTTCTCAGTTATTTTAATTCCATATATATTCTACCCAGAAGTAGAATTTTTTAAAAGAATAATTTTTAAAAAATTACTGTTTACTTGCATTTCATGCACCATTGTGAATAGAAGACCTGCTATGGAGATAACAGAGAAATGATCTGGTGAAAGCTACAGTCAAAGCTGTACTTTTCAAGGGAAGTAGCCTTAGCAGCAGGAAAACCCAGCATTTGCCGTGGCTACTGAGTTAGAGGGGTGGGAAATTTGAGCTTGCTAGCAGTGTCTTCACTAAGCTAAAGGGAAAAGAAAAGGGGAGAAAAGCTATGCTTGTCTTCAATCTCCTCCATCCCTGTTCTATAGACTGGGCACTAATCATGCCCCTGAACAAAAAAGCCTATACTTAAAAAAAAACACAAAACGGGTAGGCAGCACTATAAGGGATTTTCTGCCCATGGCATGATTTCCCCTAAAGAAGTAGTTCCCAACTTTGGTTTGTCAGATATTTTTGCACTAAAACTCCCAGAAGCCTTCACCACTAGCTGTTCTGGCCAGAATTTCTGGTAGTTGCAGTCCAAGTACATCTGGGAACCCAAGATTGGGAGCACTGCCCTAAAACATGCCTTGCCTAGTGGTTTCTGACTGTTATTATCCAGCCTGTATATTTATGCCAAAGCCTGTTCAGGGTTATCTGAAATGTCAAATTTAAAAGTAAGTAATGTGAGTCTGATGTTATTCAAGAACTGCATAAATACTGTGGGACGATTAAACAGAAGGCTTTGGGCAAACCAGTTCAAGAGAGCCAGAAGTGTGACATGAGAAATGCACCATAACATTCAAAGTGCTGATCGCTAGGGTAGAACAATGGCTGTTGTGCATTTATACAAACAGCTTAACTTTTAGATGTGAATTGCCATGTTAAGAAATTTCTGTAGGCATCTCCTGTAGCATGCCAAGTTATGCAACTCAGTATGCAATAGATAATGTATATGAAGATTTCTTAATTCATGGGAGTTTACTTGCATGTTTGCGTAGCTGCATGACACAATTTCAGCCGTGGTGTGAGAGCACTTCCAGAGTATTTCTTAGGTTAGTTAGTTGCAAGAAAATTATCCCTGGCAGCTTTCTAGTGTAGCTGAGCAGGTGATTCATGGAGCTTTGGATTGTCTACACCCCTGCCGTTGATACACAAGCTCAATATTTCTATTGGAATGTGTGTTTTGTTGGTGGTGGTCAGTTGGTAATAGATTTTAAAATGTCTGTTAAGAGGTTTCTATACTGAAATGTTACAAAAGTTCAGTGAGATTTACTCTTTGGGAAAAGTACATAAGATTGTGGCCTTAAAATCTCTCATATGTAAAATTTAAAAAATAATTATTCCTAGGTTACATTACTTCCACATTCATGTGACAAGTAGATAATCCATTTCAGTACTGTACTTTATTCAGAATATGCAATTCCATTTTATCCAAATTAGAGATCAGTCTTTTATTTGCAGGTTATGAAGGCTTACAAGATTTGTTCTACACGACTTAACTGTATTTTATGACCATGTTTAATACTAAAATGTTCCTGGAAAAAAATGTAAAGTTGTTGATGCATAGAAAAATCTTTAATACTGAATTTTTCTTCACTTTCACCACACACAACCTTTTCATCTGGGTGGATATCAGAATAGCAAAGCATGATTCTTCCAAGAATTGTTACCAGCCATTATATTTTTATTGAAAATGTACAGGGACAGGAAAATTTATAAAAACTATTAGTAGATGCAAGAGCAAGTTATTAGCAGAGACAGAAGTGTCCATATACCTCAGTTATAGCAAGACCCCTTGTAATGCTTAATTATATATATAAAGATAATAAGTACCAAAAAGCTAATACAATACATAAAAGGTCAACACAGTAGTAGCCATTAAATCAACAGGTAAACAGCCTCCAAAAACCCATGGGAATCTCTTCAGGTAGAGAAGGTGTCGGAAAATGAGGAAGTCATAGTCTTGTGGGATTTCTGGATAGACACCTTGAAAATAACACACCAGACATAGTAGTAATAGAACAAAGAAATGTCTGGATCAGTGACAATGCAATTCCAGGGGATGCCAGAGTTGAAAATAAAGAACTGGAAAAACTACAGAGACCTGGCAATTGAAACATCTTGCTTGTGGAGTGGATGAAATTCAGTGGTCCCCGTTGTCATTGCAGCTTTGGGAACAATATCAAGAAATTTCATACTATAAGCAGTTGCAGATCTCAGAAACCATACTATCAGTGCTACAAAAAAACTGCAGTATTAGGAACAGCATAGATACTGTGCCGATATTTTAACAGATACTTAGGTTTTTGGTTATAACTTGTACCTATTATATAATACTGTTATATAATTATGACTGGTATTTTTAATACTACTACTAATAATAATTAATAATAGTAATAATAGGTACGCCAAACAACTGCCCCTTTTACAAAGGAAATAAACAACGACATTCACATACACACTGAAATGACAAGGAATTAAGTAAAACTGTTCCTCTGGCAAAGAGGAAAGAAACTGATTGCCAGGACAAATGAATCAACATTAGCTGTGTGTCTTGTGAATGGAAAATTATGAAACGATTAAAAAAAAAACAGTAAAATCAATATAACTGTGGTTCTTTTGGCTGGTTTGATCGAGCCCTCAAGAAGGGCTTGTATCATGGATTATAGAAGATTTTTTCACCTCCTCATTAAATAATTTTCCTTGTCTGCTGTTTATCAGAGTGGATGGACTGCCAGGGCAGAAATACAACTCAAATATATCAAACTGCTATTTGTTTTGGAACATCAATCAGCATTAAGTACCCAACACAAAAAGCAAATCAAGTGAAAATCTAACAAAAAATCCTCCTAGGTGGTCAGGCGCCTGCTCTAGACATGCAGGAGAGAACAACAGACACATTTAGAAATGTTACAGTGACTAATGCATACATTAGAACAATGGCACGACCAGTTGTCGCGTTTTTCCAGCCATCTATTATGCACCTGAGCACACGACTGAGTGTACAACCTGAGCTTTTCCAAGTGCACAATGGACAGCTGGCTAGTGAAAATTCTGGTTTACTCTGTAAATACAAACACAGTTTTGGCTTGGGCTTTTAAATTTTTAGTTTAATGAGAAGGCTGACTTTCTCTGCACATCATTTTCAAAGTACTTTTACAATTTGTTAATGGACTATTTCTGTACGTAGATTCTAGGCCAAGTAAATACTGATGGGATTACATGTTGCGCCATCCGGGTGGTCTTGGGCAAGCTGTAGTCCTGCTACACCACAAGAAGCACAGACTGGTCACTTTCATACCTTGAAAACCCTGGGAGACTCACAAGAATTGTGCAAAACTTAAGTGAAGGCTTAGAAAATGTTTGTAGAACAAACCACTGAAGAGACTGAAACACAAATCCCAGTATGTGATCCTGTCATTCAGAAGACATTTTCCAGATTTTCAACCTTCACACAGTATAATGCAGTCGCAATAACAGTTTGAGACCATGAACTGCATAATGTGGTTCCACACAATTATCAGCACTTAATATTTACACACCTCAATCACCAAGTAGAAATACTGCCAAACTTCCTTGCTTTGGATGGAAGTAATAGATTAAAAAAGGTACAGACGTTTGGGGCAGCAAGATGGGAGGAGGAGTGGAAAAAATTACTGGCTGCTCTCTCATTGGCAAAAGCACCCTGATACTGCTAACTAATGCTGATTCTTTGAAACGGAGCATCAAGTATAATCCAACCTGTTTTTGTTGTTTCAAGACAGGGAGAGAACAGTCTCTCCATTTGTAGTCTTGGTGTGAGTCACTATTATTTAGGCCTCCAAATCTCATGTTTACAATATCAGAATGTTTCTAGAAGCAGAAAGTGGTATTATAGCCTTAAAAAAAAACTAAAGTAGTAATCAAAAAAACTGATTTTCCAAGAATTCATACTCTGGATCCTCACACCTAAGCAATCCCCACCCTGCATCCTCCCAGTATGTCTGAGATGATGGGAGATGTCGTCAAACCCCAAGTAAAGGGTGCAAGTTGATGAACACTGTGACACAGTCCCATTCTGCTCTGCCTACTAGGTTACCACAGAAAGGAGGAGATGCATCCTTACGTTGGTTCCTTGTGTGATCGTCGTAATACTTAGGCAGACCAGAAAAAGGGAACATCCTGATCAATTGATTTCTTCATTAGGAAAGGTTACAATGTTTGAGGGGGAAGGGTGAGTTGTCTATGTTGCACACTCAAAAACCAAGACGGAGGTTTTTCCTCCATTTCCAGGTTCACTCAGTCCCACAGCAACCCACCTCAAGGAAAATATAAAAATGCAGGCTGGTGGTTTGGTACCATCTACAGTGGAGCAGGTCTTCCGCAAAACTAATGACTCTTAATCAACCGTTCCAAAAAAACCTGACCACTCTTAACACGCTTTACATTACAGTACAAATAGTTTGTAACCATATACTGCTTTAGGAAAAATCCGTTTTTCCTCCCATTTGCAATGGGCGCCGCAGTAAAGGTCTGAAGGATCACGCCAACTAGATCCTTGCTATTCAGTCCTTTGAGCGCTGCACCACTTCCCGGGCGTGGGTGGAAAGGGCTCCATCATCTTCACCTATTCTTTCCGCCATTTGAACGGGATCCTCTGACTAGCTGAGAAAAAGCGGCTTTCAAGACTGCTCGCGCTGAAGCGGGCGGAGATAAGAAGCTGACAGAACAAATATTTATCTGTGTTTAGGTGCTTCTATACCTATACAGTATATGTAATGTTATATGTAATGTTAAGATTATTTCTGTGTATGTGTGTGCATATTTTGAAGAGAGCACAAACATTTCACAGACCTATTTCCTACTTCCGCCTGCTCAGGGGATGGTGAACAACCCTAGAGCAGAGACGGTCCCTCTTTTCCCCCCTCTTGTTTCCCCCTTTCCATCCCCTTCGTGCGGGCCGATCCCATGAGCCCCGGTTAGCCTCGTTCGGCTGGATTTCATGTCTCCCTCCGAAGCTGAAGGGAAGAGGCGGGGAAAAGACATTGTCACGTGACTGAGACAGCCCGCTACCTTGTTTTGCTTCTGCCTGGCCTCTCAGAACGGGCGAGACGGGAAGTGACTGCGCCGCCGCAGGCAAAGGTAGGAAGAGACCAGAGAGAGAGAAAAAAGGGGGGGGAGAGGGAAAGGCTGGAGAGCGCCCCCTCCTCTGTGGAGGTGGTCGCGTTCAATGTCGGGCGGTGAGGGAAAGGGGCGTCGCCATCTTGTTTTGTTCGGGGCAGAGGGAAGCGGGAAAAAGGAAATGGGGGGGGGGAATATCATAAGAAGCCTAGTCGTAAAGGGAGCTTTTCGCGACCCTTTTCCAAGCCTGGTCGGTCAGGCAGGCTGGTACAGTACTTTAATGGTGGCAAATGAGGCTGTTGCACCTCGTCGACGTGCCTCGCCGTCCACTTGGATGTCCTCGGCGTCGTGCTTTTGTGCCTCCTTTCAGGATTAAGCCCTCTCGAGGCGCTTTACCTCAGAAAGGAGCTTAAAATGCGCCAGTTCCGACAAAAACGCATAAAGCCATTAAAGCGGGCAAGGTCTGGTTGGTTGCCTGATCGGGAAGTGGAAGCCCTAAGAATAAACACCCAGTATTATTGTTAGGGTTGTTAATCTAGGCTGCCCGGAGAGTCCTTACAGGAACGATTTTCTGTTTAGGGAATATTGATTTTAAAACACTTGGGCTTTCAGTACTGTGAGGAAACAAAAGTGTGGATTCTGAGCTATCCAATCCCAAATATGTTTACTCTTGGCACTGATTTCATCAGAATTTACCTCTTAGTACCCTGCCTGTGTGTCCTTTGGGCGAGCTATACAGTGCCGGAGCATCCCCAGAAGAAGGGAAGGGTAAATTATTTCTGAGTACAGTATTCAGTATTTTCTCCTTGGAAAACCCTGAAAAGGGCCACCACAAATCAGAATTGACATGAAGGGAACATGATCGTTGTTGTGAGATTTATTCCCTGAGTATAGCTCAGTGGTGCCCCCACCTGCTTTTGGTACCCAGTGTGGAGAGACTGATGGATTAGGGCTCAGGAGGCCTGGGATCAGATTCCCTCACTCTGCTGTGAAAACTCATTGGGGGTGTGAAACTGGTAAAACGATTCCTTAAATACCTCACTTTGAAAACCCTAATATGGTTGCTATAAGTTGACTTGAACAACAAGGTTTATTCTGTGCGTACCTCACCTTGAAAACCCTAATATGGTTGCTATAAATTGACTTGAACAACAAGGTTTATTCTGTGCCTGTCCTCTTGTAGAATGATAATGGGGGATCATTTTTATGTTACCTTAAATTTGTAGTTGCCACCCCTACCTCCATCCTTCCAAGATGAAAGGAATCACTGCTGGCCCAGAAAGACTTCTCTTGTGGGGTCTGTCCCCTGCATTTAGAAAGTGTGGGGGGAAAAATCAAGTGTAAGGGCTTGTTTTCCCTTTCCATAACATGCTGCCTTCCTGGTAACCAGAGTAGTGTGATAGAATAGACTCAGGAGATTGGTTCAGGTCCCTAGTCAGCCATGGAAACTAATATCTCACTTGAGAGCTGCATTCAAATCTCTGGCCATGGAAAACCTTTGATAAATAATGGTAAATATTAAATATCTCATACCTTGAAAATCCTATTACACTCACCATAAGTCAGAACCAACTTGATGCCACAAAGCACACAAGTACCCTTGGTTGTGACTAGTCAGAAACCTGTTGGGTCTGTGCAGTGTAAGTGTTTTCACTGGTCACATGCTTGAACATAACCAGGTGACATGCGTAAGCACATGGTATTTCATAAAAGGAATGTGGCCAGCAGGGTTTAACAACATACCAAAGATAACAAAGGAAATAGAATTATTGAGAGAAATTATTTTTTGTTGTAGCAAAACCAAGAGTATGACACCAAGTACAGAAAATTGAATATGTTTTCTGCTACCATTTGTGATTTTGAGTTTTGTAAAGACTTGTAAAGAAAATGTGTATTCTTTACAATCATAGCCATTTTTGCTCCTGCAAAATAATGTTGTTAAAGTAGTTCACTGTTATTCTCATTTGTTCAGAGGTGGAATTGAAATTTACAGCTATAATCTTTACTGGACTATACAGTTTCAAACAGCAGGTAGAGCTTACACATTTAAATGGACCCCAGTACAAACTAAAAATACATTTTAGAGTAGTTTAGACAACCTCCCTTCCCCCTGATTTTACATGTGATTTTGAGGGGGTTGATGTCGTATTTTATCATGGGAACTTAAAAATCCCTTGTGTAGTGAAATCACTAAAGGAACCCTTTAATTAAGAGTGTTTTGTTGATGCTGCTGATGTCTTTCTCATTGTACATGCAGTTATGCAGATGATTTCAGCCAATAATTATAGCATTATTTTTCTACCAATTTCAGCCTTGGCAGTAGAAACAGCAGTTGAATTATGAGAACTGGCATAGTGTAACAGTTAGTCTGCTTTACAGTAGGTCCCCTGTATCTGTGTGGGATCTCCTCATGGATGCTAAAACCACAGGTAAAAGTGAACGCTATACACAGCATGATAAAAAAAAAAACCAGTAAAAATATTTTTATAATGTATTTGCCAGAACTGGCCACTATAGGGAGTCGGGGACTATACTATGTATTCTTCAACATACTGTATATAGAGGTATCTGCCTCCCTCTAGTAGCCAGTTCTGGTAAATACATCATGAAAATACATACAGTATTTCTTTTTTTCTTTTTAATTTTTTTTCAGACCACAGATAAGTGAAACTGCAGATACCAATCCCATGGGTATGAGGGGGTACTACTGTACTTGGAAAAAGGAGAACCACATTGAAATCCCTGTTTAATAACAAAGCATGCTTGGTATCCTTGGATCAGTTTGCACTTTTCTGTCAAACCTACCTTAAAAGGGAGTTTTTGGAATAAAATTAAGAGACGAGGCTATTGTAAAGTAGCCATATGTATTCTTTGTGCATATTTTAAAAAATAAATAATGATACTTTCCACACACAGAGTCTTCTGGCAATGATGTTTTTACTATCTAAGTTAGTAATGCAAAAAAAAAAAATCCATACAGATCTATGAGAATAGCTCCCTTTTCAGTCTCATTTGAGCATTCTTTCTCAGCTTTATATCTGGGAAATACATTTTAGGCTGCATGCCTAACACAGACACAATTTTGGGAGATCTGTGTAAATATTCAAAATATTAATGTTTAGTGAATGTTTAATGTTCTCCAATTTCAAGAGTTTCATTTGTAGTAAAGACAGATGCTTTTCGATCTTAAGTTTAATATTTCTGAATTAACTTTAACATATAACTTCCCTAGCTTACCTTGATCCCATTGAGGTCAGTAGCCAAATTCACATCTAATTTAAAACCCTTATGATTTATGTAAGTTTAGATAAGCTTTCTTATTAGAATGATTAATGGGGTAGGGGAATAATGCAGACATTACCAATGACTAAGCATTTCTTCCTTTGTTGCAGACAATTTTATATGACCAAATGGTAAAACTAATTTGCACTCTAGGAGACCACAGAGATGATGTCAACTGCTGTGCTTTCTCTTCTTCCTACTTGGCTACATGTTCCCTAGACAAAACTGTCCGCCTGTACCATTTAAGCGACTTTAATGAACTTCCTTACTCACCATTAAAAGGCCACACTTATGCTGTTCATTGCTGCTGCTTCTCTTCTTTGGGACATATTTTGGCCTCGTGTTCTACAGATGGCAACACAATTTTGTGGAATACTGAAAATGGGCTGAAACTGGCTGTGTTGGAGCACCCCTGTCGAAGTCCTGTAAGAATATGTCGGTTTTCTCCAGATTCTACATATGTGGTTTCAGGAGCAGCTGATGGAAGTGTAAATGTTTGGAATGTTCAGTCCTTCAAAGTGTGCCGGTGAGTGTGCCAAGTTGAAGTAGAACAATGTCACAGAAATTATATGATTTTTAGGATTTTTACCTGCATCTTGTAGTTACCTGGTATTATATTGAAATGAGATGTTGGACTTTACTATATAAAGTCCTTACAACAGTAAGGACAATGTTAGGATCATTTCCAGTGATGATTAAAATGATGCCAACGTTATTTCTTTGGTGTTGATAAATTGAGAAGTTTGATTTTAACTAATTGTCTTAGATAGCCATACTTTTTTTCAAAATAGTAATTTCTGTAAATGTAACACATGTTTTGAATAGTGAGAAACATCTTGGAAATAGTGACAAACACAGATGGGGGGAGGGGTCTGCTATTGTGAATGCTAGCAAAGGCAAAACTTGAAAAAAAACTTCCTAGTATTAGCTTTACACAGTTGCAGTGGGCAAAATCCTCTTGCATAGGTATACAAATGCCATAACGTTTGGAAATGAATTGCCCAAAGATAAGAAATAACTGTAGACTGAGTTATGGGACTGACTTTCAAACTAAGTCACACAACTCCGTATACAAGAGTGAATATATGTGGTAATTTCTTAAGGCAGTTCACCTACAAAAGTTATGACATTTGTGTTATACTAGCATAACTAGGCAAGAAGATTTGGGCCAATTATTATTTGAGGTGAAAGTTCTCATTTTAATTTAAACTGTGTCAAATTCCTATGTCTCAGAAATTATAATAAAGCACTGTTTTGTAAACTATATTGCAAGGTACTGATAAAACTACAGGACAGAATATAATATTTTCATGAATGAGGAATAGAACCCCAAGTATGACAATTAAATAAAACTAGCTAGAAAATCTGTCTTTTGGAATCACAAATCATTATATGAAGCTATTAAGCTTAAATTTGATTTATGTGATTAAAATATTGAAGAATATTAAACTTTCCTCTCTATGTATTTGTGTGACTTAGTGGGCTCACTCAGATATAATGCTAAACCATGCTTTACTGTTACAAGAATGACTGACCCATCACGATTCTTGATGTCACCGGTTCTCCCTCTTCGCTCTGTGCTTTTGAGAAGAACCTCTGAAGCTTTCTTCTCTATAAATGCTAACCACATATCGCCCAGTCATCTTCAACCCAGACAAACTGTTTGGCTTCAATTAACCCAAAGCAATAGCTTGTACATTTGGCTTGTTTCAGACAGTTCATATTTTGAAGTGTTTGGTGAAGTACTAAATTACAGATTATCTAAATTGAAATGGAATATGTGTTATATGTCAATCTAATTGCCATGCAGTAGAGTGCTTTTAAATACTCTTTCAGATTTAATTTTTCTTGGCCAGAATCCTATTGGGTTGTTATTCTGCAATGAGTGAAATTGTATAAGTTGCAGCACAAAATGCAACCAATGAAGAAAGCAGTAGTCAAATACATAGTCATGCATTCAGTAGTGTGATTTATATGCAAACAGACATGTCACTGGCACCTAATTAATTAGCTGCAATTTACTGCCAGACCTAACAGAAATTTATTTATACCTGTACAGAGAAATCCAAACAATATTCTGGCCACTGCTAGTTATTTCAGACTTGTTCAGTTTTCTAGGCTCTGCAGTAGTGTCATTCAGATTTATTTTTTCTTATCTTTCAGATCTGGTAGCGTTAAAGATGGTTCTTTGGTAGCCTGTGCATTTGCTCCTAATGGAAGTTTCTTTGTGACTGGGTCATCATGTGGAGATTTAACTGTTTGGGATGACAAAATGAGATGCTTATATAATGAGAAGGTTCATGATCTTGGAGTCACCTGCTGTGACTTTTCTTTGCAGCCACTTTCTGGTTAGTTAACTTGCTATTTAAATAATCCCTTTTAGTATTTTTTTCATCTCCATCCCCAACTCTTATTCTTCTTTTCCTTTTTCCTTGATGTTGGTGGCCTGTTCTGTAGCACCTGTGAACAGAAGCAGATACTTCTTGATGTTTCAGAATTCCTTTATTTCTCGGCAGTTGCCCTTGTTCTGAGCATAATTACAGGGGAATATGTCTAAGCAGTTGCCTGGATGAATGTCATGGCTTTGAAACACTGTTTTGTGATAATTCTTAAAGAGTTATCAGTTGTATGCTTTTATATACAAGCTCTCATGAGTATCTTTAATGTTGTTTAGTTTTGAAAGAAGCCAAAATTAAGAGAATAAACAGATTGCAATCCTGTCCAGACTTACTATGAAGTACAGTCCACTTGCAGTCCCAATATGTCTGCAAGGAAAGACTTTCACTGTTAAAGGACATTTAAAACATCGCATAGTCAGATTTTGACCTGTCCTTCCATTTTCATAAGAGACCAGGATCCAATAGGAGTTCCCCTGGAGAAGTGGTGAAAGTGGTCATCATAGATTCACTTTCATATGCACTACCTCCCATGCTGTTCTGGAAAGTTACTGAAGAACTTTTCAGAAGCACAAGGAGCTGCATGAAAAAGGAGAAATTGTGTTGCTGCTCCTTTTTGATAAGCTAGAGAGTCCTCCTGTGAAGGAGCTCTGCCTGCAAGTGTGGTGACCAGATGGAAAACAGGATGGTTCTATCTTTAATACTTGTGGGAGGAGGACATTTCAGCAGGTGTAGCTTAGATTAAAAGCCCCCCATGGATGTTTTTGAACAGCTACAGTGCCTGTTAAAAACAACAACTCAAGTTGACTACTTTCCATTTTATGCTTAGAAGGCATTTGTGGAAATGGATGTATTAATTTGTTTCTTTGTTTTATGTAAGCTTTACTCAGCAGTTTTATTTCTGTTGTGCAATTTTGTATTCTGAAGAGCATGAGATATAGAAAGCATAAGTATTTGACTACTGTTTGGGATTAACTCAGTCAAGGTAGAGGTATCTGTTCAAAATATGTATCTTTTAAGTACAGGAATCTTTTATTGACCCTTTTGATATTAATAACATCTCAGTGCTCAAGAATCCAATTACTTTTTAAAGAAACAACATTACTAGTTGTAATGTCATGATGACGTTTGAAGCATGAGTTAATTCAGCAATGAGCTGACTTGAGTCTTGTATGGTCTCGTTTGTTTCTTAAGTGGAATTTGAATAGTCCACTATTTAGAAACAAGAGTGTATACTCAGTATCTTTTCAGTTAGGTTATAAATAATGTGTTATGTGAACTTGACTCCATAAATACTTAACAGTATTTAGTTTTGGGAATCTGTACTTAGAATAGAGGTATTGGGGAAGAGGTGCCCTGCCATAAACCCTGTGTGCATCCACAGAAGCAGAACTGGAGGGCTCTGATCAACTCTGCAGCCATTTTCTTAGAGAAGAGAAGAAAGACATTCTGCTCCAACCTCTTAAGAGGTATCATTCCTGCAGATAGTTGCAAGTAACTAGCCTCTTGATTTATGTTTTTATTTAGTGCAAAGTGATTTCCTTAACCTCATTTCTGGTTTGACCAGAAAGTGCAATAGTTTTCAAATGCACTATTGATTTCTGCTCAGATTCAATAGTCACACTATAATAGAGCACAGAATAATGAGTGTAGCGATCAGCCCAGCCCTCACCTGTCCGTCACAGCTGAACAGTAAAGTAGGAGCCAATGAGAGGATGGAAGGTGGAGCCAAGGGGGGAGGGGGCTGGATATAAAGGCTGGTGTATGGAGCCTGAGAGAGATTCTGGTAGTGAGAGACAGTGTGAAGCTTCAAAAGTGAACTAAGAGCGAGTTAGAGGCTTGTAAGAACACTGAATGGAACAGAGAGTTATTAGAGATATAAAGTTAAAGTAGAACTGATACAAATACAAGTGATTGGCAACCTGTAATTTACTTATCGAATATTAATCATATGTTAACTTCCCTGATCTAATAAATGTTAAGTTTTAAAAGCACACATGTCTCCATGATTAAATGGTATTATGGCAGTAATACCTGGTGGCAGCGAAGAAAGAAGAAGGGCGAGAACCTCATGAAGACCTGAGGGGATGGGGGCTTCAGAGGAGATCGCCACAATGAGATCTAACAGAAGAATCATATTTACTTATAAGAAAAGTTTGTACACTTCTAGATCATATGGAAATACCAAGTTGCTACAAAAATTAAAACTTGATATAATTATGTTTAACTCCTCATATTTTCTATTTTTGAAAAAAATTATGTTGCCTGCTTTGACAAAGACTCTCAAAGTGATGAACAAGATGCACATATGAAAACAGAAATACAATTGTATGGTAATGAAATGTTAAAATGTAAAAAATATGAAAAGTGTCTAGAAGATTAGGAATTACTCTACCAAGTATAAAAACCTTTTGATGAAGTGGAAATCAGTGTTACACAAGAGAGTCTGCTTGTACAACAAAGATTTCTCTCCCTTCCTCCCTTGCATTTTCTGGAAAAAAATGATGTAGTAGATCCTCTAGGTCTCTGGAACAAATTTCTAAGAGAAAACTGCACTGGATTTCATTCAGAATTGTTGCAATAAAAATGAGTAAAATAGCAGAATGGTCTGTCAAATATATTGATTCATAAAGAATTCTGAGTGGTTTTCAAAGTGCCAAAATTGGTGAATAGGAACCACTACTGAGAAGGTCCTGTCCCTAGTATTGAGGTGAGTTACTTGTGTCAGTTTAGTTAGAAGCAAAATTGTCAACACTTGTACCATATGTCCTGTGTTGATTTTAATGCAGGGGCAGGTTCTTATGGACATTGGCTATTCTTCAGATAATATGATCCTCCCAAGTTTATGGTTTTAAAGCCTGAAAGCAAATCTTTGCATCTGGTCTAGAAATGCTCTGGTACCCAATGACTGGTACAGAATTATTGTAATTATGTGGTATGCTATGAGATGCTTTTATGTTACCTTTTCCATAGAAATTAATGGTGGACACTCCTTTTTTCGCTGTTTGAAATCCTTATAATTATAATTATTATGGTGCTAGTTTTACTTCTCATTGTTGTAATCTTCTGAAAGGTGTCTATTGTGCCTTTTACTTAGTGGGCAACATAGAGTGGCAATTATGGAATGAAGCTGTACCCTACCAAAAGCAAGGAAATTCAGACCACCAGTCAAAAAACCCCTCCTCCTGTTCCTACTCAGAACATGAGCACATTCATGCATTATTGCATTGATACCTATGTGTTTGAAAAATAGCTCCTGTAATTCTATTCCATTTACTCCAGCAGGAAGTGTACGGGGAAAGCTCCCATTGGAGCCCACAGAAGGTATTTTTCCACAATGCTGATAGCAAACATGGCCAGGGCCCTTTCATTGGTTGAGCCCCTTACACCTCACATCAATAGTGTGATCCAAATCATGCATTTGTTTTTTAATTTTAAAAAAATCCTGTATTATCATTACTAACTGAGAAGATGAATCTGTGTCTCGGGTAGTCCTGGATATTCTGTCTGTCAGATTTCTGAGGATCGTATATTGTGAACACAATCAAGATTACTTATCCTCCTCCACCTTGAGAGGGCTGGGCACTGTTTTTCATAATTAGAGAATGAGGCTGTCTGGTGGCAAGGCAGTAGTTATTGCCCTAACTCTTACCCTGTGCTACCCTGGTGTTAAATCATTTGCTGTGTGATGTAATACATAGCTATTTTACAGTTACATGTATTTCTCTGGACTGAATTCTCTGCGTAATGAATTATATGGGCATAATTTTATTAAATAAGATTAAGCAGCCTCCACTTCTTGCCGATTCTTATGTTGTTTTCTGTGTATCATCTATTGCTTTGACTTATGTGCAATCGTTACAGTACTGTATGTTATCTTTTATTTTGATAGTGAAGCATTATAGACGTCACCACCACCATTCACTTTCCTTCTTTTTTGGCAAAACTATACAAGCTTTTTTTTTGTTTGCATCCTACCAGGTATATTGTCTCTTATCCTTTCCCTGTAGAGATTTTCTAATTGGCTTCTCAGAAGTGAATGGATTCTGTAAAGAACACTTCTTCACTTCATATCAGATATTTTGTGATTCACTTGCAAACACTGTATTGTTTATGATTGAACATTTTCTGAAAAATAAGTCAGCAGCAGAGAAGTGAGGGCTGGAAACAAAATCCTATAGGTAAAATCTGCAGAAACATGGCTGGTAATGAAAAATGTGCATAATATGTTTTAAACATTCCTGTTCTCACTGGGTCCTAAATACATTATGAAACAAAGGGTCATATGTCTTGGAGGATTACCAGAATGTCGTCTAATTTAAAATGAATAAATCCCTTGCCTCTGTTTAAACAACTTTATAAGACACTTCCTTGCAGATATAGATTTTTTTCACACTGCAACTATTCTTTGCACTTGTCCTTTGCACTTGCAAGTACTAGTCTGTAGTAACTATACTTCTCTTGCAACTCCTTGTTGCCGGACAGCTCTGTTTCTGTCCCAGGCAGTCTTCCTATTATTTGGCACTGTTTTATGTCTTGCTAAAATAAACAGGACTTGTATCTGAAAAGCCATGGTGAATTGAGACTTCAAGTCACTTTCTGCAAAATATGTCCACTTAAATGGTACATCTGTGTAACAGGGCATGTGTGTGGGTGGGAGCCTGTCATTGTAGAGGGATCTCCCCATTAAATCATAGCTCACTATGTTCATATAGATCCTCTGTGTAGCATTTTCAAAGGGCTGGAGGGGTTTCTGTGGGATAAAAAGTCTATTTCCATCACCCCAGTTGCATGTACCTCAATCTAGATACAACTTGCTAACTTTAATTGTGCTTTGTAAATGTCTAATTTTGTCCAACTTGTAATGTTTCTCATGCATCTCAATACTGTATTTTTAATCAGGTAATGTGGAAGGTGTTAAATATATCCAGATGGCATCTTGTGGTCAAGATAGTACAATTAAAATATGGCTGATTTCCTTTGCTGATCCCACAGGTATGTATATGTCCCCCCCCCTTGGCATTCATTCCATGCAATTACTAGCCTTCATGCTGCTTTCTTTTTTAATTGCCTCCCTGACAGGGGCTGGACTCAATGATAACCATTCTTGATACTTTGAAATATTTTGTATATGAGTAATAGGCTATCCAATCAGTTTAGCTGCTTCTACTGAAAACTGATGCCATAGCAAATACTGTATTTAGGCCATGGTAATGGTTTAATGCTTCTGGATGAAAATGGTTATTTCCTTAGTGATGGATAGTATGATCCTTATCTCTTTGTCCCTGACCAACCAAAGGACATATTGATGTTTTACCTGCCATTAATTCCTGGTGGATTAATTTGGAGAGCAATGCTTTTTAGTGAGGAACCTTTATTTTTAGGTTTCCCCATTTTCAGGATGAAGGGTGCCGTAACAGCTGATGTGGAAATCTCCCTTTGCTCTTTGTGTCCTGCTTCATAAGGCTGTTAGGAACTCTTGTGGGTGGAAGGGAAGGGAGAGAAAGAAAGATCTGTCATCAAAACCGGAGAGACTGCAGTTCCACAGTGTGCAGTGCCTCTTTGTTACCAGTGAGACACATTGCCTGGTTGTATCCCTTTTCTTACTGATAGAACCTGTTTTCCTATGGAAGTGATTCTTTCATAGTAATTTTGGTCAGAAAATGGTTAAAGAACTGGTATATTCCAGACACAGAACATGGCTAAGTGACTCTTGATTAAGATATCAGTTTTAACCAATTTCTTATGTGAAAACTGGAGATGATGAGTACTATGTATTTTATTTTAATTACAGTAAGCTTTTCATTTGTTAATATATATGTATATATCTTTTTTTAATGAATAGGCTTTGATATGAAGTATAAGTGTACATTAAGTGGACATGCTGCCCCAGTTCTGGCTTGTGCTTTTTCATATGATGGGCAAACTTTAGTCTCTGGGTAAGAACCTTTGCTTCATTTATATGTTTCAGTTTAGTTTGTGTAGTAGAGTTCTTAACTAATACTCCTTTATATAATTTGAGTTGATTCTTCATTAATAAATATGGGCTTATTTATTGTATTGTAGTAAGTGAATTAGAACATCACATTACAGTAAAGTAGGGTTTTGTATTTAATTCTTGAAAACAATTCACTTTAACACATAACAAGTCTGAAAATACAGAAACATGCCTGTTTCTATGTAACATATTTCACCTGGCCTCATGCCCATATGGGATAGTTCCTGTACACTTTTTAAAGAGCCAGTCTTACTGGTTACTTGAAAAATGTCAGGAACATTCATCTGTTAAGTGTGTTCTCAAACAGTGGATTCTTCACAGTGCAAAATCCATGTTTCAAGAAGTATGGCTTCTTTCTATGTGGTGCAATTCCTATTGTACATATAAGTTCTCATTATAGACTGGTTTGTTAAAAATATAATCCTCACTTTGGTGAATCTTCCCAAATGTTGAGTCTAGATAGTACCTCCTTTTACTGCTCCTGTTCATCCAAGTGGTGTTTAGGCACTCCTGTCACTCTTGTTCAGCCACATCAAAGCTATCCAGGAAACAAGTCCAAAAGTCAAAGTGAATATGTCACTACACCTGGTAACAGAGAATATATGTTGAACAGTATGTAGCTGATTCTCAGATTCTCCATGGGATTCAGGAGGGTCTGACTGACATTTAGAAGAGCTTGCTTGCAACAAAGTTTCTATCCTATTAGTCTCTTCTCATCTCCTTGAAGTGTGAATGGAAACAAGACTCAGAAGGTTACATTAAATTCTAAATGTGAATGGCTGTCCCATGTTAATCTGTGCTTCATTGTCCAGCAATTGCAAGCTGTTAGCATTGCAATTTAAATTGGTAGATTAAAAACTCCATATAACATGTGTGTATTTGTTGCAAGAGAAGCTTTGCCCCATTTCATTTTTGTTTCTTTTATTTCTTGCTAGATCTGTGGACAAAACTGTAAGGATTTTTGAAACTGTAAGTTACCCTTCCATGGGATGAATATCAGAAATAATCAAAATAGAAGGAGTTACAAGCTTGTTCTATGTTTTGTATAACTGGATGTAGTTCACTGTCGAACCAACAAGTAGATGTATTAGCTTTACTGATTCCTTTTTAGTAGCGATCCATTTCATCCAAAAAACTACACTTGGAAACAGAAGGCTATCTGTTTGCCAGTGGATTCATGCATTAGCCCATAGAGACCAGGACTGGATAGCAGAAACCATTATAGGCAGGATCAGTATTCAAGGAGGATGGAGCCAAAGAATGGGCACATGTTTCATTCTGTGGTAAGCAGAGGAGGGATACCCATCCCAAGTGCATAGAGCCCTTTCCATTGCCTCCGCCATATGGAGGAGCTGTGAGTATTATGAAGGAGTTGACTCAGAGTCCATTCTGAGTGCCAGACTGTACAGCCCCAGACAAGTCACATTGTTTGCAGTAGGTCATTTCCAGAGGACCTTTCTTTTCTACTAGAATAGATTTTTACATATTTTGCTGCTGCTGGAGTGACTCCTGAGTATTAACTGATGTTTGCTTTTATAGGCCTTGCTTGTCTACTCCAAAGTGCTGTTCTATATATATATATATAAAATACATACACACACACACAGACACACATATACATATTATGTATATGTGTGTGTGTGTGCATGTATATATGTATATAAACACATGTATTTGTGAAGGGTAACACCTAGTGGCCAACTGTGCTAACCACAAGATATTTGCTTTTTTACATAGTGGGGGTGTAGAACTGGTGAAACCACTCCTTAAATATCTCACTTACCTTGAAAGCCCTTTTAAGGACAGTGCAAGTCAGTTCTAACTTGATAGCACAGAACACACACATACTTAATGTAAAGACAGCAGTATAATTCCAGTCACGTTTGAGTTAGTGCATTGTTTTTTAACATGGCACAACTCTAAACATTGTTTTCCAAGAACAATTAAACATTAGACGATTAATTATTCAGAAATATTATATGAGAAAGTATGGCAAGTAAAAGATGTTTGCGTTTATGGAGCATTCTTGGACATCTGCTAATGATTTAACTGGAACTTTGGGGAACAATGCTCCTTATCTTTAATAATCTCTCAATGCATTCCTTAGGTCTGTTTCTGTGAGATAAAAAAATTCAGGTGAAATATAGATCATTGGTTTTTTTGTTTACAGAGAACTTGGAGCATCCTACACACTTTGACTCAGCATACCAGGTATGATAATAGCCAAAAACAAAATCCCATAACGTTAACCAAGAGAAACATTTAAAATGTGACATGTATAAGGGCTGTCACTTTTATTTCTAGATATGTTACAACTTGTGCCTTTGCACCGGATATGCCATTATTTGCTACAGGTTCAATGGATAAATGTGTGAACATCTGGCAATTGGAACCAAATCAACATTTCACAGGTTAGTACACAAATGTACTTGTTGGCCCATATTCGACATAGTCATATACTTATGGCAATCTGCTCCCTTCCTGCGAACCCTAGATGTCCTAAAAATCTAATGTAGAAGGTAGGGAAACCCTCTGAAGCACATTTTCAGTGCTGGAGAAGGTTGTCAAAAACCTTGATGCTACTTTGAGCATCACATTGGATTTAGGCATGAATGAGACAGAGGTGAATCTTCCTTATATCATCAGATTGTTGGTTGTTGGAATTATTTAATCTGGGTGGCACTGGCTTCTCAAAGCTCCAGGCAGGTCTTTCCTGTCACATTGAAAAAATGTTTCTAAGGTAAAAATGTTACCTGAATTTCAACATAATGTTCTGTGATAAAAGCCACATTCATTTAAAAATTTTTTTTCAAGAAAGTTGTAATCTGTCTTTAGCCAATGTCAGATTGCATTATTATAAACTACAGTGGTGCCTCGCTTAACGAGCGCACCATATAACGATGAAATCGCATAGTGATCCGTTTTTTCGGATCGCTAATGCGATGGCTCAACGTTTTTTTAATGGGGCAAAATTCGCTTTGCTAATTCCACAAACAAAGCAGGTTATTCCATTCATGGAGAGAATTGACATTCAGCAGATGTTTCTCACTGATGAAAGGAGAGAGGCTAATAATATTAATCAAGGTGCCTTTCTCTTCCCATATTTACGTGACCTCTCATGCTTTCCAGAGTGTCTCTAACCTATTTTTAGAGGGCACAGAGAGTTGCAAAAAGAAGAAACAGCAGACGTTTTCCACATCACCTGCATCCTCCATCATAGCAGAACAGTGCTGAATAAAAATCTGGATTTAGGCTTGTGGCGTCCGCCCAGGTCATACATATTAATGTGCTATCTGCATGGACCAATGAGAATGCTGGAGAGGTGGAGTCACGAGATCTCTGCAGGGGGAAGAGAAGATTGGTGTTTTGGAGATTGGGGGATTGGGTGAATTGGGAGTTTGGAGTATAGAGAGAGGGTTGACGGTTGAGAGTGTATGAAGAAGGATGTTTTGTTAAGAGTTAACGACATTATACCTTCATCACTTGTAATATTAAACAATTTCTATTTGTTTTGTTTTAAAATGACACATTGCCTGGACCTCTGTAACTAATAATAAACAATGTTGATGTAATCAGTTTAATGACACATTGCCTGGACCTCTGTAATTAATAATAAACAATGTTGATGTAATCAGTTGGTGGCAGCGACACGCGCCATGTAGCTTGTGCCCTTTGATTGGTGAAACAACCAAGAGACAGGCGGGAATGTGACAAGGCTATTAAAAACAAGTCCTATTTGAAGCAATATTTTCGGGCACATAAGTTCAGCAAATCTTTTTGTATATAGTATTTTCTAAAATCAAGAGTGGGGGATGAGAATAAAGGCAAATTTCAAGTTGTTTCATCTCAAATCTGTTTGTCATTGATATAAAATGTTGCTTTTAATCTTTTTTTCAGGAAGTGCATTAAGGGAGGAACCAAAGATATCTGTTGATAACTGGTCAGAAGAAGAGGTTTCTGTTTGGCTGAGCAGACATGGCTTACAAGATCTAGTTGAGATTTTCAAGAGACATAACATTGATGGCAAAGAACTGCTGAGTCTTACAAAGGAAAGCCTCGTTGGTGACTTAAAAATTGGTAATGCTATTAACATCATCTTTGTAAATATTGATTTGTGTTTTATATCCATGGTGGAGAAATATCTACACTTATGTGAACTACATCTGTGTGCATGTGGCTTTGTGTACACATACATGCAGCCCGCAGGTTTCTAGAAACTCCACATGAATTCCTTGGATCCAGAAAGTTTGGCATCACTACTCCAGATGTTTATTGTTTCACTTTTATAAAAATGGCAGTACAGTCTGGCTCTTCCTCCAGTCCAATTATCCCTCTCTCTCCTGATTTTAATTCTTCTCTAGGTTTTAGACTACCTCTCTCAAACAGACTTCTAATGCCTTTCAGGTTTTTGCTCTAACGTTCTGATTTCTCTCTCTCCAGTTATATCTCAACCTAACCCTTAGTTGGACCACATTGCCCCAACAATCCACTCATGCTGACCAATCACTATGTAGCCAATCAGCTGCCAGTTACTACAGGTCCATCTGCAACAGAGGCATTCAGAATTACTTAGGCACAAACCTGATATGGGTAATAATACACAAATCTATAAATACTGTCTTGAAATGGACAGAATTGCCAGAAAGTGTCTATTCAAGCAACTACATGAATGTAGTAGACCATTGTAGCATTCTCTATTTATTTGGTCTATGGTTCATGTTATATTATGTAATGGTTCATATTTGTTATGGAATGCGATAGTTCATGCATATTAATGTTGCTGAGTGGCGGAGCCGGGAGAGATGCTATAAGAGGTGGAGCCTGAGTCAATCAGTCAGGCAGGCAGGCAGTAGAGGAAAAAAGTCAGAGAGAGTAATGGTGTGTAGTTTGGGAAATTCTGAGGTGTGATTAGTTACTGAAGATATTCATGAATCAATCTCTGAATCAATAAACCAAAGTTTTATTTAAAAGAACTTGAAGTGTGGACCTGAATCTTTCTGAACTAATGGTGATATAGAAATCGCTGCTGCCTGGTGGCAGCAGTGAAAGGAGAGAATTGTTTGCCTTTGTGTGCTCTGGGGCTTGATGGTCAAGCAAGGGGCACGAGGGTGGATGTCACAACCGCTCTCATATTCCTAGAGGGTGTGGAGGCAATGTTGCCAAATTCTGGGCCCCTCCTGAGCTGCTTTGGGCACTTTTTCATAACCATAACTAACTTCTGGTTTTGGATAAAATACTCTTCTTAGGCTTAAAACAGCTTAGTGGGGAAGAGATCACAATGTAGCATAATTGCCCCCGTATAGTGTACGAGAGGCTGTGCTAAAAAAATTGGAGGGTTGTTAGGAGTACAGAGTCAAGGACGACCCTCCCAAGTTTGGGATATGTTTGTTTGAGACCTGGGTTTCTAGAAGTTGCCCATCCCCTGACCTATCTAGAATATTCTCTAGACTTACAGCTTTGGGATTCTACTTTTTCTTTGGCATTCTTCTTGAGTCACATGCTTAACTAACAGTGTTTCCACTAGGTACCTCTGTTAAGTTCAGCGTAAACAATTGTTCCTTGCTGTCCACTGATGTGGCTAAAATTATGTGAAGAGGATTCTGCCAGAGGGCAGGATTGGGCTTATATGATTTCAAGTGGCTTTCAGTTCTGTATTCCTTTGAGTGTGTGTGGTGTTGTCAGAAGTTATCAGTTCATTGTCATATACCATTTTCTCTTCAGTAAAACTAAGTCAATATAATGGTTATATATTGCATTGTTGTTGTCTGTCTGAACTCTAGTTTTTGCTGTGCCTGGTAGTACTGGTGCTGTCCTATTGGGTGCTACAAAGCTGTTTGGACAAACAACCTTGCACACATTAGAATTCACTGTTCGTTCACAAAAACTGGAATCCATAAACAATTTGTACAGTCAATCAGACTATAGTGCTGCTATAGAGAAGTAAGTGTTGCTCTTAATGTCAAAAGTCAGCAAGCTTATCTGTGGAGACTAATCAGAAAAGGCTATTGGTAAGCACTTATGAAAATTAAAAGCAGTGGGACTAAAACTAGAGTCCCTAACTGGGCTGACCTCTAGTGCACACACAAACACTTTGGAAAAGTCAACATAATAACTTGTTGCCTGGGTACTGGGACTTTTAATGATACCACTGAGACCTAATTATAAGTTGCAGTTGAGAAAATAAAAAGAGATTTGGCACAGCTTGTCATAATGAGTCCATTTTGTGATGTGGTGTATAAACAGAAATAAAATATATTAATTAGCATAACTCACTGTCCACTGTAATTCTAAACAAGTTAACGGAAAAGAGACATGGCAGGCAAGCCGTTAGTTGTGTATGTGTGTATGTATGTATGATTCCTCCCCCCCCCATTAATAACTGCAGTGCAGGCTAATTGGATATATGAGGCACATAGGCATTTGTTTTTGTCTTTATGACTTTCTGCCCAATTTTGATGCCTAATCTTAGACTGGAAATAGTTGTGCACCAGGCCCCCTTCACCATGATGTCATACTGGAACAGAACATCTGTTACCCTCGGGTATTCCTATTGAGACAATGCAGACCTTGGAGGTTTAAGGCTAAAATGTGATTTATTTTCTCTAAAAACCACACCACATACATTTAGGTGACTATCTAGGCACTTGATCAGGAAAATGGTTTATCTTTTCTATGTTCTGCATAAATTCGTCAAAGGTGTACGTTGTTAAAGACAGTTTCTCTTTTATTCAGTAAAATATCAACTGTTTTCCATTTTTTGTAAAATTCTGGAATAATAATGCTAAAAAGTTATTTATCCTTTATAAGCCTCCCATGTTGTGTGCATGCCTTTTTACATCTGTAATGTTTATTCCTGCAGTTTTGTACAGAATACAATTTTAATACAGCCTGAATGACCAATAAACTGCATAGGTTCATTGTATTTTAAAAATGAAGTAATGTTTTGAAATGGTAATGCTACTATTAGTATTATGATAATTTGGACTTTGTGTACCTTGGCTCAATGATCTCTGACACACACTCTCTAGATGTCGAGCTGGATAAACGCATTGGGAAAGCACCTACCATGTTCTCTAGACTCACAAAGAGAGTATGGCTCAATAAGAAGCTGACGACACATACCAAGATCGAGGTCTATAGAGCCTGTGTCCTGAGTACACTCCTGTACTGCAGCAAGTCCTGGACCCTTTGTGCATGGCAGGAGAGGAAGCTGAACATCTTCCATATGCGTTGCCTCTGACTGATTCTTGGTATTACCTGGCAGGACAAAGTTCCAAATAGACTAGTCCTAGAATGAGCTGGAATTTTTAGCATGTATACATTACTGAAACAGTGATGTCTATGTTGGCTTGGGCTGATGGTTGGATTCCAAAGGATCTCCTGTATGGAGGATTAGTGCAGGGAAGTTGCCCCAGAGGGAGACCACAGCTGCGATACAAGGACATCTGCAAGCGGGATCTGAAGGCCTTAGGAATGGACCTCAACAGATGGGAAACCCTGACATCTGAGCATTCAGCCTGGAGGCAGGTGTTGCATCATGGCCCCTCCAGCAGGCCAAGGCAAGGAGGCAGTCCCAAAAGCAGCAAAATCACGGAGCTGGACAGGGGACAGATTGGATTTGTCTTCAGTGTGGAAGGGATTGTCACTCTCGAATTGGCCTCCTCAGCCACACTAGATGCTGTTCCAAGACCTCCATACAGAGCACGTTACCATAGTCTTTCGAGACTGAAGGATCCCTAAATTTGGATCAGTAATATTTCTTTAATCCAATAATACAACAGGTCACATGGTTTTTAGAAAACCCACTTAAATAAAACTGATTGTGTTGGCAGGGAAAATATTTTCAAGCCAGGACACAGTAGGATACTTTTGCTTAAAGAAAACTTTATGTCTGTGGAATCAGGGGTGGGTGGGAGGAAATCCCCCCCTTCAATCTCTCCATGGATCCCAAAGAGGGCTTCGGGGGCTGGAAAACCCAGCCAGCTCCTGGATAGTGCTGGTTGGTGCTGGCAAGAAGAGAAGGTTAGAAGTTCCATTGTGTTACTGCTGCAGTAAATTTAGGCCAATATATTGGACAGTAATGAAATTAAGTATCCATAAAGACACAATAAAGTTAAAACTTCATGGCAATCAAAGTATTGCAAAAGTGGAGTAAACACCTTGGAACCCTTCTTCAGGTTGGCTGTTAATTGGAAGGCTGGGGTGGAAGAAAAAGACAATATTAAAGTAGATATTTAAACTTCCAAGTCTGCAGTTTATCATAGTCTTCCAGTAAAACAAAAAGGGAGTTATGTTGATTTAATTAGATTAGCCTCTAGTAGACAAAGAAGAGACTGAAGTTTGCATCATTTATTTGCCATGTGGAATAGAAATGGGAAAGTATGGCCCATGTTGTAGAAACTGGATTTCTGAACTAATGGCATGTGTCAGTATTGGACTGGCCTCTCCTTTTTCCCCTTTACTTGTGGCATAAATCTCTCACTGTCTTCCTGTAGTAGCCTGTGCAACATTAAGCTTGCCTGAACTTTTGTTAACAAATAAGCTTAAAGCATGCTGAACTTTTATAGTAGAGTTCTCATTCTCCTTTGAGCCACCTTGGGTCCCCTTGTTGGCAAAAAGCGGTCTGTAAATAAAACAACTAAATTAAAATAACAATAGAGGCTAGCATGCTACTTGTTTTTGCAGCGTGTAGCAATTGCCCAGGTCTCCAGCATGCAGTTACACAAACTGGTGATTGCCCCTTGCTTTGAACCTGGCCTTTCTGTATGTGTGAGGTTGGTGGGTCCTCCCTTGTGTGAGCAACAGCTTGAGACGACCCATGCTGCTCTGCTTGTGCTCTGAAACTAACAGAACACTGGTATATGTTTACCACATTTAAATCATCTTTCATAAGCATAAATTCATGAACCTTGAAGTTCATGAACTGCTGGGCTGTGGACTATGGGCTCTTATTTTCACTGTTTTACAATTCTTGTCCTGCTATGTTAGTTTTCTCTTCCTTTAATTGAAGAAAAGGTGATCAGCAGGTGGTTCGCTTGGCATTTCATTAGCTTGAGTGATTTTCTTGACATCTCTTT